GGGTTTTAACCTTTTGTCAATATGTAATTTATTGTTATCCCTAAGCTTTTAGAAATAATCAATTATACAAGAAAATAAAAATATAATTGGCTATTTTATAAAATCAAAAAAATGATCATCAACTGAATTTGTAAAAAGATCTTTCTACTGGGTAAAGGCAAATTTATTTCCTAATTTGAACTGAATTTGTAAAAAAAATCATGTAAAAATACACTGATTTAATAAATTTGTATTAAAGAAGATTAAAATAACTTACTTTATAAAGTAAAAATAACATTATTTTAATTTTTTATAATATTTTTATTAAAATAATATATTTTAAAATTATTTTTCTTCTTAATTTTTTACAAATATAGTTAATAACAAACACTATTTTCTTATAAAATAATCAGCCGTAAACTGCTAAAATATAATATGGGTTATTTGTAAACATTTTAGAATAGTCTTGGCCTTGGTCCGAGACTTGGCTTTTGGGGTGTCTCCTCCTTCCCCAGCTGCCTTACAACCTGCAGGGGTATGCAATGACAACTCTTGGAGACTCAACCCCAATCGTGAGACTCTGCCTGTTGAATGTATGGTGGTGCGTTGCTCTGAGGTGAGCTTTGCAACAATGCATTAAAAATGAATAAACACTTACTAGAAATTGACTAAATTGAAAAAAATAACTGAATATAAACTTATTTTTTAAATCAATAAAATTACTTAGAAAATGATAAACTTGATTATAAACAATCATAATCTTAGAAAACTTTGAATTCTCCTTCTGAGAAATGCCAAAGCCAAACATGCTCAAAAAGTTTGCAAAAGAATAACACGAATAGTTAGGAAAAAAAAACCCAAAAAAAAAAAAAATTAAAACTTTTCCTTGGATTAAACTTGTCCGGATTCCCCATATGTTAAACCCCAAACTTACCCCATTTTCATACCTAAGACCCTGAACTCTATTTAAGTCATACAAACCCTTAAACTCTGGGATATGAACAAATTAGCCCTCGATCTGTTAATAGTTCTTGTTAGTTTGCACTAGTTTTAAATTTTTTAATAAAACAAAAGACACTTTAGGGACTAGTTTAAGGTTTACTTTAATGATGGCTTATCAAAGAATTTTAACTGATCAAAAAATTTTACTTTAATGATGTTTGCTTAGATGAAAATCATTCACGCTTTTGGCAGAAAAATGTGAAAGGAAGTAGGAACTACCATACCTTGGTTGTCCAATAAGCTGAAGCCTAAATGCCTATTGACCCAGAGGCTTACTAACTTCTTTAGAATCCATGATTCAGTTCTAGAATCTTAATTTGGTGCCAATGTACGCTAAATTTCTTTAAATTTCTCTCATTTACTTATCTAGATTTAACTATGAAAATAGGGAACCTAAAAATATGAAGAAAACATACCTAAATGGGTTCGTTTACACCACCAAGCGGAGGGCCTCATCATATGTACTTAATTAAAAACTAATGTAGTTATAAAATGAATTTATATATATAATTTTTATTTACAATTTTCATATATTATTAAATAAATAAATATGTATAATATCATGAGTTTCAGTAAAATGAAAAAAAGTCTATTATTAAGTAAAGTATAAAAAATTATACATGAAAATTGTCTTATAATCATTTTTTTTAAGAACTATGCACCACTCACTATTATGATAATTAGTAATTGTTTGGTTTAGGAAATAACTAATAGCTATATAGCAATTATTAACTATCAATTGTTTTTAACAATTAAACCAAACAAAATCTTAATTGGTTAATCTCCTTTTATTATACTACTATAGTCCTTAAAATGATGAATTAATTAACACAGGTCATTTCCAATAATTAAGATTTTTTTTAGGTTATTTAGTGAAAGATCTTACTTTATCAACACTCTAAAATTCAGCATGACCAACATGATCCAAAGCGGACCTATTTAGCATTGTACGTGTAACTCCCCTAATCACACTTTGTCACCTAATCTCCCCCTATATATCACCTGCATTCCACATATCACCTGCATTCCACACCCGTACCCACTGCACTATCCCTCTGTAAACCTTAATTTTGGCCGGAAAATGAAAAGCACTTTTGCTTCAATGGCAGCCCTTCTTTACCTTTTTTGTGCGTTGATATTACCGGAGTTCGCAGTTGGCATAGCAAGGCATTATACCTTCAATGTATGAGCAGGAGAAGTAACACCAAAGCGTTAGTTTAAAAAATCCTTTTATGTTTGTTTATGTTATAAAGTAACCTTATTCTTTTTTTCCTTTTTTTTTTCTTTTTTCTTTTTTGATTTCTTGATCTTTAATTTAAGATTAAGCACCATAATTTTACGAGATTATGCACAACGAGGAGCGTTTTGACTGTAAACGGACAGTGGCCGGGGCCTCGGCTGGTGGCAAGGGAAGGTGATAGAGTCGTGGTTAAGGTGGTTAATCATATTCCAAACAACGTTAGCATCCACTGGTAGGGACACATTCATTAATCCTTAAGTAATCCAAGTATCTTATTTATAATCATATGATAATTGAGTTTATTATCGTGCTTAATTACTGCTTAATCTGTTTAAACAGGCATGGGGTTAGGCAGCTTGGAACTCCTTGGGCTGATGGCCCTTCTTATGTAACTCAGTGTCCTATCCAGACAAACCAATCCTACATATACAACTTCACCATCTCAGGACAAAGGGGAACTCTGCTTTATCACGCTCATATTTCATGGTTAAGAGCATATATTTATGGAGCCATCATCATCCTCCCCAGAAAAAATGAATCTTACCCATTTCAGAAACCCCACAAGGAAGTTCCCATTATATTCGGTAATTACATCTATTTGGCATAATTAAGAATCTATTGATTTTATTTGGGAATTGGGAAATGAATCAACGAAATGTCCATGTCTTTGGAATTATTGCAGGGGAATGGTATAATGTAGATCCTGAAGCCATAGTCAGCCAAGCTCTCCAGACAGGAGGAGGCCCCAATGTCTCTGATGCTTTCACCATCAATGGCTTCCCCGGTCCGCTCTACAATTGTTCTTCTAAAGGTACATAATTCTTTGGGTTTTTAAAAAACCAAAAAGGTAGATAATTCTTCTTCTTCCTACTCTAATACTTAATAATCATCATTTAATAACAAAAAAGAATTTATTTGCATATAAATTTTGTATATTGTATTTATATAAAATACTAATAATTTGTCTTTTCATTTTGAATGATTAACACTTATATATAAACAGATAATTTCTCTTTAATAATTAATAATTACTTCTATTTATAATTTAAACATTCTAATTAGAGAAGAAAGCTTGTGTAATAACTAATCAAGTTATTGATTAAAAGGCACTTCCTAACTTATATGTGACGGGGTTTAAACCCTCATTCACCCTTTCCGTCCCTCTCTGGCATTAGGATTTTCAACCAGTTAGTTAGCCTGCTCCATCAAAATAGTATCTGTTTTTAAAAAGCTAAAACAAGCTTTCAACATATTCTGTGGATGTTGAACCTGTTGGCATCTTCGCGTTAAAGGAAAAAGGCTAATTTTTTAATGTTGCAGACACGTATAAGCTTAAGGTGAAGCCGGGGAAGACATATCTTCTACGACTGATCAACGCTGCACTCAACGAAGAGCTCTTCTTCAGCATCGCCAACCACACTCTCACGGTGGTGGAAGCCGACGCCGTCTATGTCAAGCCTTTTGAAACGGACGAACTCTTCATTACCCCAGGCCAGACCACCAACGTTCTGCTCAAGACCAAACCCGATTTCCCGAACGCCAGCTTCCTGATGGCCGCCAGGCCGTATTTCACTGGACGTGGAGCCATCGACAACTCCACCACGGCGGCGATTCTCGAATACGAACCTCCTTCTAATCACAAATCCCATACAAAGCAACTTCCTTTAATCAAACCCTCCCTTCCTCCGATCAATGCAACCAATATCGTCGCGAATTTCACCAGGAAACTCCGTAGCTTGGCCAATTCGAAATTCCCTGCTAATGTCCCCCAAGCAGTGGATAGGAAGTTTTTCTTCACAGTCGGACTAGGGACGAACCCGTGCCCGCAAAACACAACCTGCCAAGGACCCAACGGGACCAAGTTCTCGGCGTCCGTTAACAATGTGTCGTTTAATCTTCCGTCGGTGGCGCTTCTCCAGTCCTACTTCTTCGGTCAGTCAAATGGGGTCTACACCACAGATTTCCCTACGAACCCACTGGTTCCGTTCAATTACACCGGCACGCCGCCGAACAACACGATGGTGAGCAATGGCACGAAGGCAGTGGTGCTGCCGTTTAACACAAGCGTGGAACTGGTGTTGCAGGGCACCAGCATTCTGGGTATCGAGAGCCACCCCCTGCATTTACATGGGTTTAATTTCTTCATAGTTGGGCAAGGGTTTGGCAACTACGATCCTAATAAAGATCCGGCAAACTTCAATCTCAACGACCCAGCTGAGAGGAATACAATCGGAGTTCCCTCCGGCGGTTGGGTCGCCATTCGATTCCTGGCCGACAACCCAGGTGAATCGTCTCTTCCCGTTTTCATTGATCAAAATTTGTAAAAAAAAAAAAAAGAAGTTCTGATTAAGATATTAACGTTTGATTTGTTTAACAGGGGTGTGGTTTATGCATTGCCATCTTGAAATCCATACGACCTGGGGATTGAAGATGGCATGGATAGTCCTGGATGGGCCACAGCCGAATCAGAAGGTGCCACCTCCGCCGTCCGATCTTCCACCGTGTTGACCTTTTCAAATTTTGATTGATTGCTTTCGACTTTGAGCCACCTGAATCATCTACCCTTTTTTTTTTTTGGCCTTGGAATCATTTGCCTCATTTATTTCAATGTAATTTACTTTAAGTGAAGACTCTCAAATTCAAACCTTACGATGGGCCTTGAGAGATGCTAAAGTTAGGAGGGATACCTCCTGATCTGTATACTCCATACTCCATTGCATGTTCCAAAAAAATTGGTTTTGCCGGCGAGCAGTGTGTATTTATATTGGTGTTTTTTTCATTAATTATATATCTATTTAGTTTAAGAATTTTTTTTATTTTATATCACAAGTTAAAAACATAATAAATGTATTTTTTATAATTAATTTTCTTTGAAAATTTAAACATTACTTCAATTTAATCAATTATTTAGTTAAAGTTATTCACGAATTCATAATATTAAAATATATGTTAATTTTTATAATTTTTTTTATGTAAATTAATTATAAAAAAATATATTTATTGCACTTTTAAAACACAAGTTAAACGAACTTATGCAATCAATAACAGTTTTGCTTCTGGTAAAAGTTAATTTCATTACTTTCACCTAACCTTGTGCATGACCAGGGAACTAATATAAACATGGACGATGAAGAAACACGAGAGAGCATTAAGTCTAGGCTTTCGTTTGGGATTGTTATGCTGTGACTCTGGGTTTTATTTAATCTTTATTTTTAATTAATATTATATATATTTTTAGATGTTATTGAGGAGAATTAGGATGTCTTGTACCTAAAATGCCAAATAATAAAAAGATTAAAATACCCTTAATAAATTAATATATAAAAAAGATTTATCATTCATTAGGGGTATTTCAAGTTTTGAACAATATCATAGAAAGTCCTAGCATTTATATTGGCGAGGATATCCTTATTTCCATTTTTCTCATTTTTAGAGAGTAAAAATGAGAAAAACCTACCCATTGCATTGGACAACAATCACAAACGAAGCCTAAATCAGAATCAATACGAGGGCAAGAAAGCCACAACAAATAATTTCTAACATGTTCATATTGAGTTGAGCGCCCCTCTGAGTCTTCTCTACAGCATAAGTGAGGAAAAGTACTGCTCGAATTCTTGATCAATGGTCGGTTTCCTGGTAGTTTGTCGAGCCTCTGCATAAAAACATGGGTAAAGTTCTCCACTTAGTACATAGAGAAAGAATATGTTATACTCAAATGATATATATTCACATTTGAAAGCGAATGGGCATAGAATAATGCAGTACTTTAAACTCCCAATACTTGCAAATGATATGTTCATGTATTAAGATAAATTACCTTGGTTAACGTTCCAACGACCAGATGAAAGGACATAAACATTCGCATTTGCATCACTGGTGTGTGGTATTTCCTCAATTTCCTTATCTGAATATTGCTCCATGACATAATTTCCGTATCTTGAGTATATGTAATCAATATGGCTTTCATATTCTACAAGAGCGTCACCAAGATTCTCAGCTGCACTTAGATAATCATCATGATTAGCAAGTTCAAGCTCCCCAAGTGCAGCAGAAGACATTTCATGGTCTTCACTGCCCCTTGCAATTCCTGTCCTGCCATCCAAAGAATGACTGGAATCAAGGGAACCGGGTCCCCAACCAGAAGAGGAGGAAGAAGCCCCATTGTATCGAGAGAATTTCACATTTTCTGAATTAAATTTAGCTTTAGCATCCATAGACATCACAGAATCATAATCTCCACCAAAGCTATTGCTATCTTTTGCTGAGTCAGTTTCTGATCCATCATCAATAGCTCCTCTCTCAGCTTTAACTTTACTACTAGTACATGAACTGGACTCCTCTGCTTCCAGGTTTCCATTAAATGTAGAATGAGATCTGGACAATAAGTTCCGATTCCCCCATTGATGCTTTGATGCAGGCAACCCCAATTGCTCAGCCTGTAATTTTCTCTTTCTGTTCAAGTCTGCAATGAGTGCTTTGTTGGCAAGCAACCTGAAAAATTAAGGATGGGGGAAGGGGAAGCGGAATGAGGCATGGAAAGTGAGGCCAACTGGCGCAATGATATATCCAAAGAATTATAAAGGCAATTTTCTAGCCTCTAAACTGTCTTCCAAATTTCCTGGGTTTTTAGTAAGATCAAAACCAGAACTAAACATCACAAATTTGTTTGGAACATAGAAATTTAGGCCAAGAGTTTAACTTGTATGCACTAAACAGAAAACAAAGACAAACAATCATACACATCTCAATTCTCAACATGCAACTTCAACAAGAGAGGTAGATGTCTACCTTATTTTAGGTAAAAAATGGTAGATAGGTACCACCATCCTTTACTGTTTTTGAGACAAAGAAAGGAAATGAATTCACCATTTTCACCTAAAAAGGCTAAAATAACCCAAATAAGCAACAAAAGCCACTCCTAAAAGTAGAAGCATACCCAGTTCTAGTAACGGATGAATCCAACAAATGATCTATTAATCAATACCCAAAATCAAAAGTTCATAAATTTAACACTAAAATCATGCTCCGAATCTTAATCAACCACAGATATTTAAGATTAAGCAGATATGTTACTTCAACAATTAGTTTAATTCTTTTCCTTCCATCAAAAGAAAAACCAAAGGGAGGCCGAAAAACAAAAACAAAAACCAAAGATTTCCGTTTTGAAGAGCAATTAACTAACCCCAAGAAATCAATGAGCTAGAAATCATTAAAAACATGATTGAATAGGGAAGAAAACTAAAAACCCAGAAATCAGACCTCCTGATTGCAGATGGGTTTTCGTTATCAACTTCCATTGGAGGCGAAGAAAACTGGAACTTCAGAGGACCCATGAGCCAGACTACCCTTTCCCTTCGAGGATATCACAAAACGAATCAACTGACGGCCGTGCTTTCTACTGTTGTTGAATACAACCTGAAACGGACTCTGTCGTTCGTGTAAACCACGAGCCAACGGAGTATCGACCGCTCTGGAATTACTCTGCTTTCATGTCGAGCGTAGACATCTGCCTTCACGGAGAGCGCGTAGCTGATGAAATGGATAAGTAACATGCCGAGTCCATGTGAGCTTTTTAAGAGGTGGCACGAGATTTATTGTATTTGTATGAGTGTGCTGACTTATTCATTTCTTTAAGGGTAATGATACAGTGATCGTTTATTTCTAACAATTTTTCATCCAAAATTATATGCTCACAATGTTGTGTAAGTAGGATTGTAATTTTATACGATAAAAAAAAATTGTAATTTTATAATTTTAATGTTTTTAAACAAATAAATATATATAAATAGATGGTAAAATAAAAAAATTAATTATATAATAATATGTTAGAATTATAAATTATGATTTTGTATTTTCAATTTTTACATGTGATTATTAAATGAATGGTTGTATATGATTTTGATAAAGTAAAAATAGTCAAACATCGTCATAATCAATTTTTCTTTTTTTAAAAAAAATCAAAGTGTAATGTTTTTCTACTACCATATGATATGACATTTTATGATAAATTTTTTAATTTTGGAACTACATATAATTATTAGAATATTTTTATAAAAAATTGTACAATAAGGACATAGTACAAGTAATGAAAATGAATATCACAAAGCACTATTTATGAATTTTATTCCCTATTAGCATTTAAATATTTTTACAATTTGAAGTACATGCAATCCAGACTTCAAAAAAATTAGATTGAGTCATCCTTTATCTTTATAGTTTTTCTATTTAAGGATGCAATCCAGACTACATATGTTTAAATTTTTTATTGATTGAGAAAATATACAAATAAGAATATTAATTTTATAATTTTTTTATTTGAGAATATCAACTT